ATTTACACTTCTGACAAAAATGGTTTATCAAAAGATTGAACAGGCTTGAAGTGGCAGCAAAAACAATTTTTAAGCATGACGCGACATTTAGTGTGGATGACCGACGCGCAAAAGTTTTAATTACTCCTTCGCCAATCTTAGTGGACGAACTAGCCATGGGTATGGGTAATGAAAAACAAAATGTGAGAATACAACTGTACATCTTTTCTTTGTTCTTATAATATCTTTTCTGTGACTCATCAAGTCGCCAGCCATAAAAGAAACGTTCAGAAAATGACTTTATCGAAATTGCTGGAGAATCAAAATACTGAAACAAATAAGACGTGTAAGCTGTTTTGGATATAGAAAACCGCTAATTATTTTATTTCAATAATCTTCTTTTCTTGAAACTCAGGCGTTTGTAAGTGAAAATGATGTAATCATCTATGCACTTTTGATTTTATGTGCTAACATAAAAGTTTTACATGGCAACAGTCACAGTAATTTGAGATAAATTTTTATTTGTTTCTGTGAATCAGTAACAAATGTGGTAGAGGTTGGACTACGGATGCTAAGTGCATTGATAACTGTTTCTTAACTTCACTTTGCAACTATACAGATTTGAAAGCTTATGAAAGATTTTTTCAGAAGAAAAAGTGATTTGGTAACCAGAAACAGCTTACACATGGTCTAATTCAATACAGTCCGATAAACTAGCTCCACCAACACCCTTGGCGATCTGATGAGAAGAAAAATATGACAAATGTGCAGCAAATGTCAGTAGAGATATATCTCTGATATATGTATATCTCTATTCGAATGCTCGAGGCCTATCTCCTCCTTCTTCTTCTCGGCCTATCTTCTCCTTGCTTCTTCTTCTTTACGTTTTATCTCTGTTTCATATATATAGCAATGAAAAATCATTTTGTTGTGCATTCATATTATTCTAGTTGTACACTCCTTGAAAATGAAAATATAAATTTTCGAAACGTCGGAATAAATAAATATTCAAATGAGTTTATATAAAGCTATTGTAAAAATCCTGTGTTTACTTCGTTTATTATCCATCAATAACTCTAAACCTAATATAGTACACTTTAGGTAGAATCAAATGAAAAAATTTCTTTATCTCATAATCCTTAGGATGAGATAAGTTTAGAAGACAGATATCGACATGTACCAACATTCTGCATGTGTTCAGCGGATCTCGAGATCAGTCTAGATTGTACTATACGCTACTTTACTGCAGTTTTTTTCTCTTATTACGAATAGGGGTGGCACTTTCTCTTTCCTACCTCTTTGTTTTACGAACAAAAGAAAAGTTTTTCTTTTTATTTACAACAAAAAAGAGTAAAGATATATCATTTCTTTTCTAAGAGAAAGGAAAGTGGTATGTTTTCTTTTCCAAAAGAAAGAAAAGTGATCTCTTTTCTTTTTTCAAGAAAAAGACTTTTCTTTGCACCTTTTAAGAAATGTCTTTTCTTGCAAAAGAAAAGATATTGCTTTTCTTTCTTTTGGAAAAGAAAACATACCGCTTTCCTTTCTCTTAGAAAAGAAAAGGTATGGATTTTTTACTCTTTTGAAATTACCACTTCACCGTTACTCTGGAAAGGAAGGGGTAAGTTTATTAAAACCAACCTAGATCCCACAGACAGTTTAGTTTTTCGAGAAGAAATTGTTTTACCGAAGAGATTGGATGGTTAATGATCTCCCCGTACTGGAGTGCCCCGTACTTTTTTTTTAGAGATTCTGAACATTTTTGACGTTATATCATGTTCGTCAGAGTCAGTTCTATCTGACGGCTTGGCCAGCTAACGGCCTCCATTTTTACCCTTTTTTAAAAAGTTATTGCAATAAAGCCAAAAACTGATCTAAAATTGCAACCATATAATTAAGTAGGTTAAACATTTCTCTACAAAATGAAAAGTGTCTCAGCTCTGAACATTGATTCACTACGAAAATATAGCCGTTGCACAAACAGACCAAATAATCGATTTTTCGGCTATCTAGAAAGCGCATCTAAAAGAGTGAAGACAAGCTGGCAAAAATTGAACCAGTATATCAGTTTGTAGAAAGTTGTTTGCTCTACAAGTTGTGATAGCTTCTTTTTTTTTCGTTTGAAAATAGTCTGATTAATCTGTGTTAACCAAAGAAAAACCAAAACAACCGTGACGATGTGACACTTTTGACCGTTTTTCATCATATCGCCACGGCTTTTCTTGATTAATACAGATTAATTAGAAAGTTTCGAACTTAAAAACCTATCACATATTGCAGAACAGAAATGAAGGCCGAAAAAAGGAGGAGAAAAAATGGAGGCCGTGAGCTGGACAAGCCGCGGACGATGTCTTCAGAATATGAAAAGATAGGTGGCAGATACAGCTGGTTATCCGGCGATGTCTTTTTTACTGCTACGGATGAAGGCATTGGTTATTCATTATTCATTATTACGAATAAAAAAGTATATTATGTATGATGTTCTGTTTTTGAGTGTTGAGCTGAGTAACATCGGGATCATATTTTTTTATCGATCAGTTTGTGGAAGAAATTAATTTGGTAGTAAGAATAAGCTACGATAAAGACCAGTGGAGCTTCTGTTTTTATTTGGCGATTAATACATCAGCTATGGCGGATACTTTTCTAGCTTGAATCATTCACTCTCGGAGTCCAAGAGTTAATTATGGATGTACATAATACATAATATACTTTTTATTCGTAATATTTTGTTTATTCTGAACGCTTCGATGTTAACGAGCTTGTATTTTTCTTGATCGTAGAAATTTATAAAAGATTAATAAAGAACAACAGACCGATAATACAAGCAGAATAAGTAAGACAGAAAATTTTGATTTGCCTTGCAAGCAATTGTTCTTCTTTATATGACACCAATGGCGTAGTATTGTTAACGATTGCCGTCACCCTTTCTTCTTCATAATCAAACTAGAGATGTGCACGTGTACCCTTTTTCGACCCGTATCCGGCTAGTAGTCGAGAACTTTGTACACGTACTCGACGTATGCCTACAAATTTTCTCCTTTCCGTTTGCTACCAGGTTAGACGCAGACTCACACCCTTATTTTCATTTACTATCATAAATAACTGAATACTTGAATGAGATCCACGATTCAATTTTGCTGTCAAGTATTTTTTAATAAAGTTTATAACAACCTTGTACTCACAGTAAGTAATATAAATGCACAATAGAAATGATTAAATTCCATTTTAATTTATTTTTTATATTTGTTTACTTTTTACAGTAGCAGAAGATGAAATACTTTTCAGAGTTGGTTTCTTTACTGATTCTAATCGATGTGCCATCGATGCATATGTTAAATGCCTTCGTACGGTACTTGCATATGTTTCACCAGCATAACCACCTTTTCGTCGTCGTTGATTATGATTTTCATCCGGTAATTGCTGCTGTTGTTGATTATTTGTATTTTTTGTAATTGAACATGACGATGTATCAACAGCTACAAGCATTCTCACCGTTGGTTTGCTATCGTTGAAAGAAAATATTCTTTATATCATCACAGAAAAAAAAAGGGAATTATACGATAAAAAATAACAACAATATTGTAGAAGACAGAAAGAAAAATATCGCTGTTGTTGCTTGACTCATACGGTATATCAGAATATTACTCAGATGTCACCTACTTTAGTTTTTATCCTGTGAAATATAAAATGATTCTTTATACTTAAGTCATTTAGAGAGCAAATAGGTATTTTATCTACGTGTTTAAAAAATTATCATGTGACTAAATATACCTTTCGAAGGGTAGAGAACAAAGGAAAAATGTGTCCGAATCCAATACAAGTCTGATAAAAAACATGACATCGAACGATATCAGTTTGTATATGTCAGGATTTATTAGGGTTTCAAGTATTCTTTCATTAGTAATATATTATTTAGAAGGTTAAAACAGAAAAAGTAAGAGGACAGCTCAGATGACAAATAGATGGATCAGAATGCTATTTATAAAGTCGGTTTGTGGGATGTTAAAATGCTCAATTGATAGATAGAACTAACAGACTATCAGCAAACTTCATTAGCATAATTATTGACAAAAGTTGAAATTACATATTGAAAGGAAAACAAGGCAAGTAATGTGCCGGAAAGTTAAAATGCAATCGATTTTATTTTTCGCATTTTTATACATAATTGGACAGAGTTCACGAGCTGGTTAAAAAGAATGCGTGTTTAGGTTTTCTAAAACATCTTGTTAAGTCCCTTTTCCAACTAGTAATATAGATTGCAACTAGTCGTGTATCGCCCGATTAGACGAAATATATCTAGATTTTTCTCATATGTGATATTTGCTTGGATAGTGTATCCCAATCTATGAAAAATTTCTTGAATGCGACAATGTTTCGGTGCCTGTTTAAACAAATATCGGTTTTTTCGTGTCAGTTTTTCGGACTGAAACCGAAACAGGTGTATATCCACTTTTGATCACGAAATATGTTTAGATACAAATGATAATTAAAATTTTAAACGTGATACATATTCATTGAAATATTAACCAAATGAACAATATTTGCACAGCTTTATTTAGATCTATTTGCAAATTTGAAGTTGTATTAACTTTCTTGGAACGCCCTTTTGCTTTTCGTTTGGCTAATGGCTGAACACGTGTTTTATCGCTAACTTGATACAAGTTAAATAAAATTGCTAATCCAACAGACTGTTTACACGAATATACTTTCATGCCAATCCGACAGCTACGTGATTCTAATGGTACAACAAGCCAACAGGATTGTTGCCACACCAGAAAATTATTGAATGTAAACCACTACGACAGATAAATATCTAGCCGAGGATAAGGGTACCGGCAGCGCGAATTTCGAGTAAAAATTTTTTTTTCGCCTTTTTTTACACTATTTGATAGAGCTTGAGCTGCTGATCACGAAAATCTACTTTTTAGCTCGAGTGAACGCTTCCTTCC